TTCGTGTACAAAGAATCAACGGATCAAAGCCTTACTACGTATGACGTTCTTGTTCCAATGTGTTTACAACGCTGTACCATTCAAGCATTGTTGTGACGAATACTGCTTAACGCCGCAGTCGGCGTGAGTACAACTATCGGGGTGGCCTGCTCTGTGTGGGTGTGTTGGGTGGACGCCGCAGGCTCTGGCTATATCGGGGTGGTCTGCTCTGTCTGGGAGTGGTGGGTGTACGTCGCAGTCTCCGGCTATATCGGGGTGGCCTGCTCTGTGTGGGAGTGGTGGGTGTACGTTGCAGTCCCCGTCTATATCGGGGTGGTCTGCTCTGTCTGGGAGTGCTGGGTGTACGCCGCAGGTTTCGGCTATATCGGGGTGGCCTGCTCTGTGTTGGAGTGCTGGATGTACGCAGCATTCTCCGGCTATATCGGGGTGGTCTGCTCTTTCTGGGAGTGCTGGGTGTACGCCGCAGTCCCCGTCTATATTGGGGTGGTCTGCTCTGTCTGGGAGTGCTGGGTGTACGCCGCAGGTTTTGGCTATATCGGGGTGGCCTGCTCTGTGTTGGAGTGCTGGATGTACGCAGAAGTCTCCGGCTATATCGGGGTGGCCTGCTCTGTGTGGGAGTGCTGGGTGGACGTCGCAGTCTCCGGCTATATCGGGGTGGCCTGCACTGTGTGGGAGTGCTGGATGTACGCAGCAGTCTCCGGCTCTATCTGGGTGGCCTGCTCTGTGTGTGAGTGCTGGATGTACGTCGCGGTCCCCGGCGATACCGGGGTGGTCTGCTCGGTGTGGGATTGCTGGATGTTCGCAGCAGTCTCCGGCTATATCGGGATGGCCTGCTCTGTGTTGGAGTGCTGGGTGTACCCAGTAGTCTCCGGCTATATCGGGATGACCTGCTCTGTGTGGGAGTGCTGGATGTACGCAGCAGTCTCCGGCTATATCGGGGTGGCCTGCTCTGTTTTGGAGTGCTGGGTGTACGCAGCAGTCTCCGGCTATATCGGTCGGCCTGCTCTGTGTGGGAGCGCTGGATGTACGCCGCAGTCTCCGGCTGTATCGGGATGACTTGCTCTGTGTGGGAGTGCTGGATGTACGCAGCAGTCTCCGGCTGTATCGGGATGACTTACTCTGTGTGGGCGTGTTGGGTGGACGCCGCAGGCTCTGGCTATATCGGGGCGGCCTGCTCTGTGTGGGAGTGGTGGATGTAGGCAGCAGTCTCCGGCTATATCGGGGTGGCCTGCTCTGTGTGGGAGTGCTGGATGTACGCAGCAGTCTCCGGCTATATCGGGGTGGCCTGCTCTGTGTGGGAGTGGTGGATATAGGCAGCAGTCTCCGTCTATATCGGGGTGGTCTGCTCTGTGTGGGAGTGCTGGATGTACGCAGCAGTCTCCGGCTATATCGGGGTGGCCTGCTCTGTGTGGGAGTGGTGGATGTACGCAGCAGTCTCCGGCTATATCGGGGTGGCCTGCTCTGTGTGGGAGTGGTGGATGTAGGCAGCAGTCTCCGGCTAATTGGGGGTGGCCTGCTCTGTGTGGGAGTGGTGGATGTAGGCAGCAGTCTACGGCTATATCGGGGTGGCCTACTCTGTGTGGGAGTGGTGGATGTACGCAGCAGTCTCCGGCTATATCGGGGTGGCCTGCTCTGTCTGGGAGTGGTGGATGTAGGCAGCAGTCTCCGGCTATATCGGGGTGGCCTGCTCTGTCTGGGAGTACTGGATGTACGCAGCAGTCTCCGGCTATATCGGGGCGGAGTGCTCTGTGTGAGAGTGGTGGATGTACGCAGCAGTCTCCGGCTATATCGGGGTGGCCTGCTCTGTGTGGGAGTGCTGGATGTACGCAGCAGTCTCCGGCTATATCGGGGTGGCCTACTCTGTGTGGGAGTGCTGGGTGTACGCAGCAGTCTCCGGCTATATCGGGGTGGCCTGCTCTGTGTGGGAGTGCTGGATGTACGCAGCAGTCTCCGGCTATATCGGGGTGGCCTGCTCTGTGTGGGAGTGCTGGATGTACGCAGCAGTCTCCGGCTATATCGGGGTGGTCTGCTCTGTGTGGGTGTGTTGGGTGGACGCCGCAGGCTCTGGCTATATCGGGGTGGTCAACTCTGTGTGGGAACGCTGGGTGTACGTCGCAAGCTCCGGCTATATCGGGGTGGCCTGCTCTGTGTGGAAGTGCTGGGTGTACGCAGCAGTCTCCGACTGTATCGGGATGACTTGCTCTGTGTGGGAGTGCTGGGTGTACGCAGCAGTCTCCGACTGTATCGGGATGACTTGCTCTGTGTGGGAGTGGTGGGTGTACGCAGCAGTCTCCGGCTGTATCGGGATGACTTGCTCTGTGTGGGAGTGCTGGATGTACGCAGCAGTCTCCGGCTATATCGGGGCGGCCTGCTCTGTCTGGGAGTGCTGGATGTACGCAGCAGTCTCCGGCTGTATCGGGATGACTTACTCTGTGTGGGAGTGCTGGATGTTCGCAGCAGTCTCCGGCTGTATCGGGATGACTTACTCTGTGTGGGAGTGCTGGATGTTCGCAGCAGTCTCCGGCTGTATCGGGATGACTTGTTCTGTGTGGGAGTGCTGGATGTACGCAGCAGTCTCCGGCTGTATCGGGATGACTTACTCTGTGTGGGAGTGGTGGATGTACGCAGCAGTCTCCGGCTGTATCGGGATGACTTACTCTGTGTGGGAGTGCTGGATGTTCGTAGCAGTCTCCGGCTGTATCGGGATGACTTGCTCTGTGTGGGAGTGCTGGATGTACGCAGCAGTCTCCGGCTATATCGGGATGACTTGCTCTGTGTGGGAGTGCTGGATGTACGCAGCAGTCTCCGACTGTATCGGGATGACTTGCTCTGTGTGGGAGTGCTGGATGTACGCAGCAGTCTCCGGCTGTATCGGGATGACTTGCTCTGTGTGGGAGTGCTGGATGTACGCCGCAGTCTCCGACTGTATCGGGATGACTTGCTCTGTGTGGGAGTGCTGGATGTACGCAGCAGTCTCCGGCTGTATCGGGATGACTTGCTCTGTGTGGGAGTGCTGGATCTACGCAGCAGTCTCCGGCCCTATCAGGGTGGCCTTCTCTGTCTGGGAGTGCTGAATGTTCGCAGCAGTCTCCGGCTGTATCGGGATGACCTCCTCTGGGTGGTGTTGGCTGTTGCTTTACGCCGCAATCGACAGAATATAGTGAGTGAGTTCGTTTTAAAACCGCTTATAACACTATTCCAGTTATATCACGGCGTGCCAGCTTAATGTGGTAGGAAAGTTTGAAGTGATGCACGTGTCAGACGTTAACCACGTTGATGAAACCAAGGACCTCGGGTATAGTGCCGACTATAGCCGAGAGCCGCGATCGGTTCCTACAGTCAAAGCATGACCGTACATCACGTCATGTCTTGACTGTAGGACCTCATCGCGGCTCTCGGCTAGGTGCCGACAGACCTAGAAACGTTATCGGGGCGGACAAAAGTACACCTATATCCGGGGCACAGGGGCTTGTAACGCAAATATTAGTAGCCTCGGTTGTGACCATAAACATGTTGCTGCTGGGTTTTGCGTTACAAGCCCCTGTGTATCGAGTGGCCTGCTCTGTGTAGCAGCGTTGATGTTGCTAATCTCCCCATTCGGCCAGACTACATTTATATTGCGGTGGCCTGCTCTGTGCAGGAGTATTTACTTGCAAAGGCACATATACCGTAAATAAACAGGAGCAAAGAGCATGCTCAGATATACATAGTATAATAACGGCTTGTGTCAGAGATGAAGCTCGCCGAGAGTCCAGCTTGGATAACTAACTGGGCAACGCATCAATCCCTGCTTATCACTACCTAACTGTCCACTTGTTTGTTTGTTGATTAACGTCGCACTCAGCAATATTCCAGCTATATGGGGGCGGTCTGTAAATAATCAAGTCTGGACCAGACAAGCCAGTGATTGTCATCATGCGCGTCGATCCACGCAATTGGGATACGATGACATGCATCAACCAATTCAGCGAACCTGACCACCCGATCCCGTTAGTCGCCTCTTACGACAAGCATAGTCACCTTTTACTAAGGCCTGAATACAGAATATCTAAGTATGATATGAATCCAAGTTGACTACATATTACCAGAGTTCATGTAGTGTTTGTTTCATGCATGTTTGTTCGTTGTTTAACGCCACGCTCAGAAATACTCCAACTGTATACCCGTGGTCTGTAAATAATCGAGTCTAGACCAGACCATCCAGTGATTTTGAATCATCAGCATCGATCCAAGCAATTGGGATACGATGACATGCATCAACCAAGTCACCAAGCCTGACCACCCGATCCCGTTGGTCGCCTTACCACAAGCATGGGTTGCTGAAGACCTATTCTATTTTAACTTTTAACTTTTATTGATTTGCCAATAATTCTCACGAGTGAATCAATAGGACTGAAGGTTCAGTTCAATTGTCCGAACTCTTTGTCTTGATGTAATTCTGTTTTCTATTGGCACAGGCTTTTCTTTATTGCTTCAGCTAGACCGGCATTCATTGTGAATAACAAGTCAGATTACAGGTGAGGTGAGGTGAAATGGGGTTTAACGTTGCGTCCAAGAGTATTGCACTAAAATAGCAACGTGCATGCACGTGTGTGTGTGGCTGCTTGTACTAGTCCGGACTGGTGCCGATTTATAGTGCAAGCACACTGAGATACCAGTTTAACATGAATACCCCACTGAGACACAGTATACTGACTCCGAGCCGACCTGTCCTTGTTTTAGCCCCTTAATGCTGAGCGCCAGAAAGGGTAACAACACTACCATCTTTTAACATCTTTTGGTTTGATCATTGAACATGTGACTTTACCCATGAACATTCATTGTTGTTATGGCTAAGGGAGGCATCTCTTTCCAGAGACTGGACATGTGCCTCCTCAAAAACTTAAGGAATTCCTTCCATCCTGTCTTTTGCCCAAATCTGCCTAATATATATATGCAAATTCACTGTAGCATGACAGGCCAATCTAACTTTCATAATTTAAAAATAACAAACAACTTGGTACATTTAGTGACATTTATTTACATATTTCTAACATTGACAGATACAGAAACTGACAATGATGACTTGCAGACAAAGATATTCACAGTGAGAATGGTGTGTCGAGAGAAATACCCACAGAATACAAGGAAGACATACATGTGTCACACAGGGACAGGGACTCCTGTTGCCTCAAAGATGCTGAAGAACTAGTCACTGACCATGACTGGAGAAAGTGAGTGAGTTGGGTTTCACACCGAGTTGAACAGTATTCCAGTTATATCATGACATGTCAGTTTGATGTAGGTGGCAAGCCTGAAGTGAGGTAGGTCTCAGGTGTTTCCCACTTTGCTGAAACTCACGAGCATGGTTATGGTGCTTACAAACCTGCAAACATAATCGGGGTGAACCAAGATCTGAATCAAAGATGATAGGTTTGGGCAAATTGCCTCTGGTGAATTGTGGTACCTAAGATGACTTGGCCACCAGTGGTTCTCCAGTTGACTGGAGATTGTTAGGATTACTGGAACCAGATCAATTGTAGAAGGACTTGACAAGACATCTATGATAATCTAGCAACTGTGCTTGGACTCCAAAGTGTGAGTGAGCTTGAACAGCTAAATCATGGAGTGTCAGCCTGAGATCCCTGGATGTGGAATACCAACCCACAACCACAAACATAAAGGGATGTCCTCAATGACTGAACCTAGTGCATCCTTACTCCAGAGCAAGGTTCATACCAGCATTTATAAAAAGGAGGGGGGGGGGGGGGGGGGGAAGAGTCCAAAATATCAAACTCCTATGTCAGATAATTTTATTGCCTACAACATACTACATTTGATTTTCAAAAACAGGAGGGGCTCCAGACCACCAGGACCCCTTCTGGATCCGCCTGTGCCTGGAACGGGATCAGGCAGTCAAGCTATCTGACATGGTTGATTCATGTTATTGTATCCCAATTGCATGGATTCATGCTCAGGATTTCAATCACTGGATTGTTTGGTCAAGATTATTTGCAGACTGCTGTCATATAGCTGGAATATTGCGGAGCGCAGCATAAAACAACAACCTAACAAAACACTAATGCATCGCTTTGTATTCCTACTTGGAACTTGCGTTAAGTCCCAAGTATGATCTATCCATGAACCTTTCAATATGCAAGTTTGAGAGAACAGGAGTGAAATGGACAAGTGGCATTCCTGGCACAATGTTGACACATGGAAGCAGAGGCACACCGAGGCAGATAGTTAGCTCTCTGAATGTCATACCCAATACACTGTGATAAGTCCAAATTCCTACACTAATATAGAAATCTCACCAATACACAGTTAGCTCCAACTAACTACGTTAGGAATAAGCTCAAACCAGTTAAATATGAATATTTAATCGAATCATCCATTCTCATTTCTGTCAGTAGTAAAATTACCTATTTCTGAGAATTGATAGTTGTATTCTAGATCAGTTGAATGTTTTTCATTTTCAAACATGACACTGTTCTAAAAGAATTGATAAATTCTAGTAGATGTAATATGTCTGTGCAATGATAATGAACCTTTTATCCGATATCTGAAACAAATTTAAATGGACTGTACAATGATGCAACATGGGAAGGGAATTTGAATTCCAGTCAGGAAATAACAAATATACATCATACAAAATCAAACCACTATACTTAATAAACAATGTATGAGGCATATACTAAGTTATTATTTTAAGATTTTAGCATTATGAGGTGTTTCTGTTATAACCCAAAACCATATACCTATTACTTGTAATTTGACAGCCTCAGGCAATTTCACAAATCTTGAATCTTCGCAGCAATAGGTATTCAGTTAAACCTTGATAACATAGCTTCAAGTCTGTGTGAGCATCAAAATCCTATTGAATTATCTGTAGTTTGAGATCTTCAGAAGGCAGTGATCAAGATTCTGCAGAAACCATGAACAATGTAGGATATGTCGCTACTCTTGTGTCACTATAATCATTTGTATGTCTTCTGTACTCCTTCAGCTGTACTGGTATAAGAGGAATCAATCTTACAAATCTTAGCACAGCAAGGTTTATCATTAATTAATGCTGGTGACACCCAAATTATCCTCTGCATGAAAAATGAGATTTTTGTTTGTATTATGCAAATCTAAATGTAGGAAGTCAGATGCACCAGTAATGACATATTGTTCTTCGTGGTAATTAAGAAGTATACAATCTTATCAATTCATGCAAGTATTTACTTTTGATTATTTGTTTTTAAAGACTTAAAAGCTATAAAGCAGGGTTCGAAATTAACATAAGTCCGCTAGTCCAAAACTACATGTAGTAAAATTCAGGAAAGACTAGCGTCATTTCCTTGGGAAAAGTGCTTTTACTAATAGATGGCAACTCAGTAACTTATTGTTTTTGCAAACTGGTGAATATAACAAATAATTTCCAACCCTGCTTTTGAAACAATGGTGTGTGCGGAAAATTCAAAGAAAGGTGAGATGACATTGCCAATAATTTAATTATTAATTCATTATATATAAACAACATGGACAATGCTACTCCATTACTATACAAATCCCTGTATCTACTGTACAGAATATACACAGAAGTCACTGCACAAAAACAGACCCATTGGGGATCTCTAAGGGAACCATAACAATATTTACATCGTGTCAAAGCATTGTGCAACACCTACCTCAACAAATTCTTCATACAAATGATCAGAAAGTTTCTAGTGTATAGTAATTAAACAAAAACAAAACAGGTATACAGAAGCAGATATGTGGTGTGCGTGACCCTGTCCAGAGATTAACATAAGCAGTATCAGACATTGTACTGTCATAAGGCCAGACCAAGTCTATTTAACATTTTATGATTACCGTATTCGATGTAATAAGCGCCCAGGGCGCTCTCAAAATTAGAAATAGGGGGCTCTAATTAGAATATTATTTTGGTGGGAAAAAAACAGTTAAAAGATAAATTTTGTGGTTTATGCTGACAGCCTGAAATGTTTATATACGAGAGATACATTTTTCCAGAATTTAATTGCCCATAATTAAGGGTGCATATAACACACGAATCCGTATTATACGCAACTAAATAAGTGTTGTGTATATTGATCAATCAGAAGGGGTGCTAATAGGTATTGTTCACTAGCCAATATATTAGCAAATATCGCCGTGGGCGCTTATTACGTCGAATATGGTATCTCAGGGACTGGTCAGTTATTATAGGATTGGTCTTTGTCAACACCCTCCAATCTTTTATAATAAACTGACCAGTCCCTTATGTCCAACATGCAGAGATGACCAGAGTCCAAAACATACTTGTCTAGATTCACTGAAGGACAATTACAGAGATTACATTTGAAAAGGTTCCATTAAGAACATCAGAATTCAGAATATTTATGAGGATATGTCTGTAAATTATAAGGTACTTGTCGTACAAGAATGATCAACAGTAACTTTAAATATTAACCAGCAGGGTTAAAATAAGGTGATTTCAATCAAACCACATTTTTTATTTCTATGTACTTTCATAAACATAAGGGAAAACTAAAAAAACGGAAAAAATTGGTCTGGCCTCAATAATATGACACACCAGAAGACGGTTTAGCGATTAACAGTTAAAGTACTCTATCGTATACAAACTGCAGCTTTCAAGGAATATACACACAAACTGCAGCTTTTAAGGAATATACACACAAACTGCAGCTTTTAAAGAATATACACAGGTACAGACCACTGAATGCGACATAACCCAAAAAAAATGTAGCACTTGAAACAAGAGGAAACTAAAGTGAACTTGTAACAGGTGACAGCAGACAAATTCAGCATTTGGTAAAAACATAATATAAAAGTGGTATATATCGGATATTGCATAATACAGAAACTTTATAATATAACCAAAACAGTCTAATACACCAACAGGTAAACACACCTTCTGAGCTCTTCTACTTACACAAACCAGTGCCCTATAACCTAAGCACCTTTGCACAGGTGAGTCAATCTGGTCATCTTGACCATGCAATGGGACATAACTCATAACAATAGATTTTCACAATGATTTAGTAAAGTGATGTGCATTCTCTGAATATTGTCTTTCCCACATTGGAATAGAACTAAATGTCTCTTTTTGCTTATTTACTATCAAAAGCCAGTCACTTGCTTAATTGTCTATCAACAAAAAGAAACATTCACAACCTGCAGTTTTAACATGGGGAAGGTGAGCGTGTAATGAGATTTTCAAACTTGTGAATGTGGAAAAAGAATCAACCAAACACTTTGTTCATAACCCATCTTCAAAATAGTGCGTTATTTGTTGTAGTCGTGAGCGTGGTTCTAGCAATTTTGGACACACTTGCACAAATCGATCTCAGTGCTACAACTATTGCTCGTCTATGCTACAGCATAGGAAACAAAACAGTGTCAGCACTCTGATCACGCTATGCTAGTGGTTCTGTTATGTATAAGAGAAATATACATTAACTGGACCTGTCAAGGAACAGGTGCTTGCTGTCCACTAGTAACTGTGTTAGGCATCTCGACAGAACTTGTATTCTTTCAGCGCTCAACCAAATAATGGTAAAACATAAAAACAATATAGAAAATACTTCCTGCCAAGAATACATTGAACACTGGGTAGAAAGATGACCTACTGGGATCTGTGGGCGATTGCCTCATCATTTTATTTGGTATAACTTTATTTTGCAAAATCATTGTTGACAACAGTTATACTATTAGCAAGCACAATTTGTTAGGAAATATGGTCATGATGTATTCAAGTCCCTGTATACTGAGTGACCTTGGTTCAATTTCTAAAAATATTCTGTAAAAGTTAGTATCAAACATTTGGTCCCTTCAAGTTATGCCAAGCCACTCAGTCATTATTCCCACTGAACGTATCGGATACGCAAACTCTTTTGTAGCTAAAGGTCTCATTGTCGTGCTACTTTCAAATTAAAAAAGACACACACAAAATATAATTGTTGTCTTGACATTGAAATAATGTACCAGACTTAATGATTGCACTAAACTCATAATATATAAATAAATAAATTTACTTTTTAGAGAAATAAACAATATTTTCATGTCAACTTTGAAATGTTAATGCATAAAAAACTATCACAGGCAGACACTGTCTATACATTCACAGCTGGGATACAGTCAGCTATTCACTAGTCCATCTTTACCGACAATTCTGTCACATTGGTGAACATTTTAGGGGTAATATTTTTAAATGTTTTGTCCCAAGTTCACGCAGTTTATCTTTCAATAGTTGAAGGACTATCTTCTAAACTGGTAGTTTCATCTACAAAAACTGCATGTTAATATCCTACAGAAAAACAGATTCACATTATTGTGCCAGTACCACTGTTTCTCAACAAAGCACTTGCATGCTAAAGTACAAGATGACAAAACTAGTGAGGGCTACCTAGGAACAGGACCTTCCTCCAGAAAGCAAACCATTGTCACAAAATATGTTTGTTGCTTAATGTAGCAGGCAGCAATAACCCAGGAATATCTTGGCCTCCCGTAACTAAAGTGATCGATAATATGAGCCCAAAGCTGTGATTGAATTCACCGAGCCTGACCATCTGACCCATTCAGTCACCTATTGGTTTGTGATGCTGCATTCAGCAATATTCCAGCAATATATGGCAGCCTACAAATAATCAAGTCTTGACCAGACTGTGATTGATTGTGTAAACAATGAACCAGGGGCAGGATGATATGCTATCGACCAATCACCGTGTCTGACCACCCAATCATTTTCGTTTCTCTTGTGACCAGCATAGGTTGCTGGGAAGCGATTCTTACCTGCAATCCCCACTGTTCACTTCTTCAGTTATGACAAGCACAACCTACTGGGGACCTATTCACAACATAAATTTGCGTTTGCATTTTCAGCAATATCACACGAGGGAGACAAGACATTTTCCAATGAGTTCCAGCATACAATATTCTGTGGATTATTCTGGAAAGATTTGAGGGGGTTTGCTGTATGAATTCACTTTCTGGTAGAAGGACCCGCCCTGAATTCCAGATGGGGAGAATTGGTGTTCATGTGACAATTCCTAATAAACATTCTTCAATTGATTTCTTATAAATTGTACAAGACACTTACGTGTGACAATTTCTAATAAACATTCTTCAATTGATTTCTTATAAATTGTACAAGAAACTTACATGTGACAATTATTAATAAACATTCTTTGATAGATTTGACAAGAATTGTACAAGATACTTACATGTGACAATTATTAATAATCATTCTTCGATAGACTTGATAAATATTGTACAAGACACCTACAGGTGATACTGAGTTGTAAACCGGAACCTCTCAGTTAAACAGCATTTGTATGACACATTATTGCCGACATTCTAGCTCAGTGAGAGTCCTTTTTCACCATCATAAAGGAAGATTTTTAGTAGCTGAATTTTGTAACATATTTACAACTTAATGAGAAAACCTCTGATATGAAAGGTAACGTTACTGGTAACAACGATATTCTACTGAAGAGACTTTGGAATGGATTAACAGCATGACCATATGCAATTGTCATTGTAGATAAAACAAGAATGACAGTTAATTGTCAAATGACTGCTAGATCACATCTCCAGTCACTTAATCATGTTCCGTCCTTAACAAGGCAAATGTCACCAAGGTCACAAGGGGAGGTCACCAAGGTCACAAAGCCTACACGACGATGCTGCGATGCTGCGGTAGATGTGGGTAAGTAGGTCATCTGTGCTCTGTGGAGTAAATGCATGTCCACAGGTTACCATGGCAACTGCTTAAACAACACCTCAGGTGGGTGGGGCTAATTTTTGGTGGTTGACAGCTTGATTGACAGATGTCATCAGTTCCTAGAGGCACCCCAGATGATGAGGGCCAGGATGGTAATCACTATGGCGAGGATGATAACGATTATACAGGTTTTCCGTCTTGATTTTCTCTGAAAAATATTTGAAGAATAAATTATGATAAATTTCAATATTTCAGCATCAAACATGAGTAAGAGGCTGTTGCAGTTTTGTTTTAATAATTCAGAACAAAAATAGGTGCAAGCAAGTGTGAATTATTTTGCAAGATAATATACATTCCATTGAACATGGCAGTCAAAATATATCAGATATCAATGATTCAATTATCAAGCAATATCTCCAGTCAGCAGCTTACATTATGCAGTGAGTGAGAATGGCCAGAGCCATTTCAGAAACAGCATTATCAGTTTTATCACAGTGTGTCAGGAAAAAGGTCCAAAATGATACTGAGTGATAACATTAACCAATTTGGTTTAGATGATTATTATATTAATTCCAGTTAATCAATCAGCTGAATGGGAAGACACGACAACTTGTTGATCGACTGACAGATATTGCCTTGAAATAAATAAATGTGACACAAACATGCACTTTGTGGCAGCACTACCACTGAACAGAACTAATAAGACATGCAATGGAGCTTACCTGCACATATTTCATATTATTTAATTTTTTGGGACAGCTACGGCGATGATAATACCGACAACAACTAATATCACAACAACAATAACAGCAATACAGCACTTTTTTCTTCGGGCTTTGGACTGAAACAAACAGAAATGTGATTGTGAAACTAAACATCAAACATCCAAACTACAGTGTACCAGCAACACGGGGCTAGTGGTTCTAGAGTGTACCAGCAAGATGGGACTAGTGTTCTACAGTGTACCAGCAAGATGGGGCTAGTGGTTCTACAGTGTACCAGCAACAAGCACTAGTGGTTCTACAGTGTACCAGCAACATGGGGCTAGTGGTTCTACAGTGTACCAGCAACATGGGGCTAGTGGTTCTACAGTGTACCAGCAAGATGGGGCTAGTGGTTCTACAGTGTACCAGCAACATAGGGCTACAGTGTACCAGCAACATGGGGCTAGTGTTCTACAGTGTACCAGCAAGATGGGGCTAGTGGTTCTACAGTGTACCAGCAACATGGGGCTAGTGGTTCTACAGTGTACCAGAAACATGGGGCTAGTGGTTCTACAGTGTACCAGCAACATGGGGCTAGTGGTTCTACAGTGTACCAGCAACAAGCACTAGTGGTTCTACAGTGTACCAGCAACATGGGGCTAGTGGTTCTACAGTGTACCAGCAACATGGGGCTATAGTGACAAGCTGCCAACAAACCCAGGCTTCCTGACGTATTCCCATTAAGTTCTGGTGGAAGGCTAGTCTAAACTAGCAGCGTACAGACAACATCCATGGTACAAACAGGCTAGATGGTCACCAGCTTAATAGCCAAGCAATCAAGTGTTTACTGCAACATGGGAACAGTTTGGGAATGTTGTTTAACCTGTAATTCAAGGGATCTCGAAGATTGTTATGCGTGGAAGTATTCTTGTTATATATAATAGTGGGGCTGGGGACGGTTCCACAAAGCTATCATAGGGCTAAGGTGATCATAACTCCCATACTTTAACATAGACTTACGACTATCGTTGCCCAACGATCGCTTTGTGTAATGGGACCATGAAATCATTTGTAGTTTCAAACAGGTTCACACAATCCACATTTTACGACAAGGTGGGGTACTAATAACAAGTACTTTCTGACATGATTTCTCCATTGTAATACATGTAAATACATAGTTATACATAGAGATGGGGCGATGCACACTGACAGTAGGGTAGTTTTCTTAACAACAGTGCTGTAATGATACACATTGTCGCAATACAATACCTGTGATGTGATACATAAAAACTCTACACTTGTCATGTGAAGGAGACGTTTCCATCCTCCAAGGGAACACTCATGTTGTGGCACAAGGTACAGTAACCATCAGAGTATGACAACACACAATTAACCATGCAAAACAAAAACAGACCTAGGGCTGGGACAGTCCAGATCTACTACTCAGGTACCAAACTCCCTATTACCTTCCCCTACAAAATGTCTGATTGGGAATAGTTTGACCATAGCCCTGGCAAAATGTATTGAGATACACATATACAAAATGATCTGGTCATGCATACACTGCAGTTGACTGAAGCTTTATTCTTATTCAAACATTTGAAAGTCAGAAGGGATGCGTGCATAGTCAGAAAGAAATGCGAACATTAGTGACTTGTAATATAACCATGGAGTTCTTGATATTTTTTATATTAGACAATATATCACGTGACTAACGATGGGTCCGGGTAGTCTTGTGGGTACCTGGGTCCTACTCAGGACCCACCGGCCCCAGTACCTGAGTTGCCTGTCCCAGCCCTAGCATGACCACCAGACTCATACAACAAAGTGAGTGAGTGAGTTGGGTTTAACGCTGCTTTTAACAGTATTCCAGTTATATCGTGGCGTGTCAGCTTAATGTCTGAGAAAAGCCCGAAGTGATGCAAGTCTCAAACGTTGACCACTTCACTGAAACCCACGAGCACAGGTATGGTGCTGACAAACCTAGAAACATAATCGGGGCGAACCGGGATTCGAACCCATAATCATAGGTTTCTGGCGCGCCCAAGGGACGCAACTCTGCACAGCGAATCGCAGCGCCTTAGACGACTGGGCCACCCTTGTGGCCCCTCATACAACAAGGACCAAGTGTAGCCCCCCCTTCCTCTGTGTGGGGAAGCAGCTTGAGACTCACCTGGTACGTGGAGGCTTTAGCCAGCTGTTGTGTCCCCTCCTCGACATGGATCTGGGTCTGCTCAATGTTGGCTTCTATGCTGTCTGCAAGAAGAAAACCATAGCACATGAAGAAAATTGTCTTCAGCACTTAATTTCAGTAAGGTTGTTAAAACTTTATACCACAAGTATCAGGAATTTTTTCTGATTAGCTAATCCGTGTCAACATGGTCAAGGCTCTTAAATCCTTAGTATGCGTGGACAAAAAATTCAGCTCAGCATAATATCTTGAACAATAAGTTAAATGGCCAGTTCCAAATGTAAATAATAAAATAACATTTTAATATGGTGGATATTTTGTACACTCCTGTTTCTGGGAGTAATATTTGTGTCCTGTGTTAGATTATAAGTAAATAAAGCCGTCTTAGACTGATTGGCTCAAGAACACACACCACCTTCATGTAGAATGGGTGGTAAAGCTTGCTTAGGGTGGATGTGACACCATTTTCTATGGAGGAGACTTCAGATATTCAACCAGAGAGATATCGTATCAGAGTAAAAGATCTTATTTAATTTAACTGCAACAGCTTGACCTTGAACCAGAAGGAAAAGGTTTTAAACTTCAAAGTAGGACAAAATGTGTTTTTCATGTGAATGGGCTGCATGTTAGAGACAGGAGGTTGTGTTCCATAGCCCTGCTTCAGCAGACCCAAACTGGTGACGTGAAAAGGGGTTAGTGAGTGAGTGAGTACGGTTTTACGCCTCTATTAGCAATATTTCAGAAATACCATGGATGGGGACACCAGAAATGGGATTCACACATTGTAACCACGTGGGGAATCGAACCCGGGCCTTCGACGCTTTAACCACTAGGCAACCCCACTGCCTGAAATTGGGTTTAACATCACGTTAAACATTATTGCACTTACATAGCGACGTGCATGAAAGTGTGTGTGTGGCTGCTTGTTCTAGTCCGGACTAATGAGGGTCTCATAGTGCTAGCCCACTGAGATACCATGCCATGTTTGAGAAGATTACTCCACTCAGACACAGTATACTGACTCTGAGCTGACCAGTACTTGTTTTATCCCCTTAATGCTGAGTGCCAGCAGGGTAACAACAAGTACCATATTTTAACATCTTTTTGTATGATGCAGCCAGGGATCGACTCTCCAGGCAGGTACCTACCCAGAACCTCTCCTTGTTCGTGTACCAACATGCCCAGGTCTTTGAAGATCTGATTTACATCCATGATGTCGTGCTGGAAAGTACAAAGGTTTGAGTCAGAAAGTAACATAAGCAGTCACAAAGATTGTAGCAAGGATTTCATTTCAGTTGATGTAGAAATGTTCCAATCATGATAACAACCAAGCCCCTGTTTAGTGACATCAGTGTACACATGAGCAATGACCAAGACATGGGCTTCAACTCACTATTTATTAAAGGCATGTGTAAGTGAATGTTATTTTATGCTCTTGCAGCATAACATATGCAATTTTGATGCCTCTTGCAGCATAACGCATACAAGTTTGACCCAAATATAAATAAAGCTGTTCTGAAAACATAAGTACAGTAAACTACGTTTAAAACGAACACGCTTATAACAAACTGACCGATATAACAAACTTATATTTTAGTCCCTGTCATTTGTTGTATATATGTTGTATATATGCTCATAACGAACTACGGTTATTACGAACTAAAATTAGTGGTCCCTTTGAGTTCGTTATAACTGTAGTTTACTGTATTATGACGTTTTCCTGAAAGTGAGTGAGTTTCAGTATTTTCTACATTTCAGGTATATTTCGCCATTTCAACATAATGTGGAAAGTGAGCCCTAAGTACAGACGGCCATAGATGTGTAACTTCCATGGCAAAGGCACGGAATCTAGTCAGGTCTCAGGTTATAGTGCCTGAACAGTGGATTTGATGTAATGCCACTTTGACCAGTATCTTGGTAACTGCTGCGCTTGATGAGGGAAGAAAGTCTGGTGTGACGCAGATTTTAGAGAATTTCCACTTTGGTGATACACATCAGCATGTGTATATTGCCGACAACCTAGAAATAAAATCATGTTGAATCTGGGGTTTGTATTCCTGGTTCACTAAGGGACGTAACTCTGCACAACGGATGGTGGTGACTTAAACTATAGGGCCAGGCACTACCTTTATTCATGAGTGAGTGAGTTAGGTTTTACTTCGCTTTTAGCAATATTCCAGCAATATCACAGCGGGGGACACCAGAAATGGGCTTCACACATTGTACCCATGTCGGGAATCGAACCCGGGTCTTCTGGGTGACAAGCAAACACTTTGACCACTAGGCTACTCGACCGCCCCAGTTATCGAAAGTACGACTCATTGAACAACTATTCACATCACGCACCACCTGACCACCCCTCCCTTATTCGTGAAGTATTGAAAATTGTTGCTGACCTCTAGTTTCTTGATGGCATCCTCCCTCTCCCTCAGCAGATCCAGATCCACATCCTGCTCCATCTGCAGCACAGCTTTGGTTTGAGAGAAGCTGGAAATCAACACATTTCTACTGTCATTCAGGTCATGAACACTAAATGTGACTCAAACATATGCATGTTCTGATCAACTGCCTAAACATGCTCAAAAGAAAATAATGCCACAATCTTTGCATCAAATAAACATAATACCTCACTACCAGGGTATGGTTCTTGAACATTTGATCTAACTAAGGGTCATTCATGGTCAAAATGTCTTGTGGTATACATTTATGAATGAAAAACACAACACAACAGTTTTGGTAAATGTGACAGTACTGTTACATAAATACGAGAATGACGTTGCAAAATTATCATCGACAAGATGCATTTACAATCTGAAATTGAAGTAGCCATTTGTTTAATTTAAGGTTACTTGAGTTATTCTTATTCAGCCAGTGATAGAAACAAATGGGGCGCCTTAGGTCCTTGGGGTTGGTGGTTATAAGATTTGAATCTACATCCTTCTCAAATCCTTTTTTGTTTTGTTTGGTTGTCTGTTTAACACCACACTCGGCATTATTTCAGCTACACGATGGAGGACTATATGTAATTGAGTCTATACAAGACAATCCAGTGATTGATATTGTGAGCAACGATCAACACTGTTGGGGTACGATAAAACACAATCAACTAATTCGCTGAGCCTGATCAATTTGTTGTCTCTTACAACCAGCAAAGTTTGCTGGGGACCAATTCTAACCTGGAATCACCAGGGGGGCTATAATGTTTAACATTATGGTAATTGCAAGGTTCTCTTGACTAAATTTCTTCTTAATTGCCATAATGCAGAACATTAAATTTTATCTATCTCAAAATAAAATCAGCCTTGACTAAAGACACCAGCATATGATCCTGGGCCAAAGATACCAGTGTTTGATCCCTCACCAAAGATATCAGTGTTTGATCCCTCACCAAAGATACCAGAGTTTGATCCCTCACCACAGATACCAGTGTTTGATCCCTCACCAAAGATACCAGAGTTTGATCCCTCACCACAGATACCAGTGTTTGATCCCTCACCAAAGATACCAGTGTTTGATCCCTCACCAAAGATACCAGAGTTTGATCCCTCACCACAGATACCAGTGTTTGATCCCTCACCAAAGATACCAGAGTTTGATCCCTCACCACAGATACCAGTGTTTGATCCCTCACCAAAGATACCAGTGTTTGATCCCTCACCAAAGATACCAGAGTTTGATCCCTCACCAAAGATACCAGTGTTTGATCCCTCACCAAAGATACCAGTGTTTGATCCCTCACCACAGATATCAGTGTTTGATCCCTCACCAAAGATATCAGTGTTTGATCCCTCACCAAAGATACCAGTGTTTGATCCCTCACCAAAGATACCAGAGTTTGATCCCTCACCACAGATACCAGTGTTTGATCCCTCACCAAAGATACCAGAGTTTGATCCCTCACCACAGATACCAGTGTTTGATCCCTCACCAAAGATACCAGAGTTTGATCCCTCACCACAGATACCAGTGTTTGATCCCTCACCAAAGATACCAGTGTTTGATCCCTCACCAAAGATACCAGAGTTTGATCCCTCACCAAAGATACCAGTGTTTGATCCCTCACCAAAGATACCAGTGTTTGATCCCTCACCAAAGATACCAGTGTTTGATCCCTCACCAAAGATACCAGAGTTTGATCCCTCACCAAAGATACCAGTGTTTGATCCCTCACCAAAGATACCAGTGTTTGATCCCTCACCAAAGATACCAGAGTTTGATCCCTCACCACAGATACCAGTGTTTGATCCCTCACCAAAGATACCAGAGTTTGATCCCTCACCACAGATACCAGTGTTTGATCCCTCACCAAAGATACCAGTGTTTGATCCCTCACCAAAGATACCAGAGTTTGATCCCTCACCAAAGATACCAGTGTTTGATCCCTCACCAAAGATACCAGAGTTTGATCCCTCACCACAGATACCAGTGTTTGATCCCTCACCAAAGATACCAGTGTTTGATCCCTCACCACAGATACCAGTGTTTGATCCCTCACCACAGATACCAGTGTTTGATCCCTCACCAAAGATACCAGAGTTTGATCCCTCACCACAGATACCAGTGTTTGATCCCTCACCACAGATACCAGTGTTTGATCCCTCACCAAAGATACCAGTGTTTGATCCCTCACCACAGATACCAGTGTTTGATCCCTCACCACAGATACCAGTGTTTGATCCCTCACCACAAATACCAGTGTTTGATCCTTCACCAAAGAAACCAGTGTTTGATCCTTCACCAAAGAAACCAGTGTTTGATCCTTCACCAAAGATACCAGTGTTTGATCCCTCCTCAAAAATACCAGTGTTTGATCCCTCACCAAAGATACCAGAGTTTGATCCCTCACCAAAGATACCAATGCAAGAGACACAATACTTGAGTGAGTGATGTAACTACTTAATGCTGCATCAGCAAGTTTACAGCTCCTTGTGTCAATGGAGTTTACGAGTGTCTTTCATCTGAGATATAGTCACCTACCCCGGAGCCATACTCTGATCCTCTGTTGGTGATGGGAAGTCATCAAATGGAGACTGAAAATGAAGAAATATGAAATATCATCCACCCCTAAATGCAAATCAAATTAAATATATACTCCATTAACAATGATTAAAGCACACTGATCAAAGTTGTATTATTTTTAGTAAGTGCGTGAGGAGCACACATCATTAACCAGTCACTGTGCCTCATCATGCTAGACAGTCATGAGCATGAACATTTAGGTAGCCATGCCGGGTCCTGCTGAACAAAACCTTAGCGCTACGACTGTCGTAAGTCTATGTTAAGGTAAGGGAGTTATGATCACTTTAGCGCTAAGATTGCTTTGTACAACGGCACCCTGGTGTATTGTTAGTTCAATTGTGGGCTCCACACATTGTACCCATGTGGGGAATCGAACCCAGGTCTTCCGCGTTACAAGTGGACGCTTTAATCACTAGGCTACCCCATCACCCCTTACCTGATCAAGAGATACTTTACAAGGATTTTTATTGGCTAAGATACATCTTCAACAAGAAATGTTTATAAATCTAAAAAATTTGTGGGTTGTATCATGCTGGAGTAAGTGATAATCCAGTCACAGGATGGCGGCCTGGAATTAACCAAGTCAGGGCAGGAACACCTGTGGTTGATAGCATGATGAAGATTCAAAGCAGTGACACACAACCAACAAAGTCAGTCAAGAACCTACCAGATCCCCGCTCCACAAAGCGATCTTAGCTCAGCTCGTCGTAGCCCTAATGTCACTTTGTGGAACAGGGCCCAGATGCCTATTGTGGTCCACTGTTTCAACAAAGAGGAGGGAAAGGGTACCTATCCAGACAACCCAACAGCTTAATAAAACCTAAGAAATTCCACCAGGCGAAGTCTTCATAGATGCACCCACCTTCATGGATGCTGTTCCGGAATGTGCTCGCGCCCGTGCCATGCTGGCCTTTTCCTTCTCCGCGGCCGTGCGCTGGGCAGTCTGGAAGTTCTTCAGTGCGTTGCTGAACTCCTCCGTCAGACGCTCCTTTTGCATCTTAAACTGTCTCTGAAATTTGGTTGTATGTTGTTTAATGCCACATTCAGAAATAAAGCATCAATATGGCAAAAATAATTTCAAAACGCCAATTCAAGGCATTTGGTTAAAAGCCTTGGTTGATGTTTGTTTGTTTGTTTGTTTAATGCCATTCAGCAATATTCCAGCCATATGATGACAATCTGTTAATAATCGAGTCTGGACGCAATTGGGATACAATGACATGCATCCACCAAGTCTGCGAGCACGACCAGCCGATCCCGTTAGTCGCCTCTTATGACAAACATAGTCGCCTTTTATAGCAAGATGGGTGGCTGAAGACCTATTCGAACCCGGATCTTCACAGGTCGAATACAATCATGACAACTACAAACATACAAGGTTACAGGAACACATGCTCTTTTCCCCTTGATCACATGTTTGTGTTCAGTCTGTGAAATAATTCTTCAACAGCATTAGCCAGCTGGGCTTGATAGATAATTTTTCATCAGCCAATTTCACATTTAAGTAGCCAGTTTTAGCCCTACTATACAAGGAGATATCTGGTAACCACGGTAACAGAGAAAGAAATGTTTTTCAAGTTTAATAAGCAAATAGACATGGTACTCTAGGAGCTGACCTGTTCTGATCCTGTCCCCACCCATTACTACATTAACCTACTGCTTACAGTATTGGATGACAGAGCGATGGACGCTCTCAGATTACAAGAGCATAGACTTGGTACACTAGGAACTGACCTGTTCTGATGGGTTGCTTGGGGCAGGTAGATGAGCCAGTTCCTGCAGATGGGTGTTGGTCTCCTTGGCCAGCTGGTTCGTGTAGTGGGTCGTCTGATGCCTGCAAACAGCCAGGAACAACACTTACCATTGGTTATGGTACATGGCTTCAGTCACAATGACTTGTAGCACAATTGTCTGGACCAGACAATGTAGTGACTGACATCATGAGCATCGATCCACGCACTTGGGATATGATGACATGAATCAACCAAGTCAGCAAGCCCAACTAAACAATCCCGTCAGTCGCCTCTTATGACAAGCAGTCACCTTTTACAGCAAGCATGGGTTGCTGAAGACCTATTCTATCCCAGATCTTCACGGGGATAGAGGCGGTAGGTTAACAGTTTTGTCATGAGGTTTGTTAGTCAAAGGCTGCTTAAATCAAGGTGTGTTTAATTAAGGCAATGTCTACATGGTCTAGGGTCATTTGAACCAAGATTTCAGATTTATCATCATGCTCTCTGAAGCAGGCAAACATGATTCAGGGGAGGAAAAATCATGGTTCAGTTTGAGTTATCCCCCTTAAAACCTACTCTTTCTTCTATTCTAACAAATCACAAAACAACTTAATTTAAACTGAATACCAGCAATATAGAAAAATGAACATGGCCTAGCTTGTCTTCACATTCAGTAGTATAGGTACTGATCAGTTATAGTGAAGAAAGGGATGTGAGCTGGATAAATCCAATGATCAGAACTGAGCGTTAGGCCCCTCAACTAAGTATTTCGTTTCTGGTCCCCAATTTTAATCAAGAACAGGTAACTCTAACCTCCATTCTCCAAAACGAAGTTCAAACTGATGCATATCGTGTGTATGTTGAGGGGGAAGATTATATACATGACATAAGACCTTTTGGGCTTGTCGAGTGGAGTTCAGACATCACTCGACTGAACTTTTAAGAAATGCTGTGAAAAGGATTCAATACCAGAGAAAACTTAGTTTCCCCTCCCAGAAATAAAAGATTGTACCGTTCGGGGTAGTGTATCATGCAAAAGGTTTGTAAAAAAAATGGTTGGAAAAAGTCACGTCTTCTCAACATTTTAGGCCAACCAAAAGACGCATACCGTATTTGACGTAATAAGCGCCCAGGGCGCTCTCAAAAAATAGAAATAGGGGGCTCTTATTAGAATATTATTTTGTCGAAAAAAACGTTGAAAGATAAATTTCGTGGTTTATGCTGACAGCCTGAAACGTTTATATACGAGAGAGATATTTTTCAAGAATTTAATTGCCCATAATTAAGGGTGCATATAACACACGAGCGCGAATAAATAAGTACTGTGTACATTGATCAATCGAAAAGGGTGCTAATTGGGATTGTTCACGAGCAAATATATTAGCAAATATCGCCGTGGGCGCTTATTAGAGCGGGGAGCTTATTACGTCGAATACGGTAATACTTTCATGGGGGCCTTACTGGTTGGTGACACTCACACTCTGTTCCTGATGTCATCTGAGTCGTCCCTTGTTCCAATCTGGGCAACAAACCTCTGAATCTGGGCAACTGAATTTTAACAAGAAAAGATGATAATTGTTACAGATAAATGATCTGCAAAAATATTGCGGCATTACCAATCTACCAACCTCAGCTATAATATTTCAAAAATTTGAATATGCATTTTCAGAATGTTTCACTACATACCTCTTTATTCTTGTACGAAACACTCGCCTTATACCATGTTATACACACGGAGATACGGTAAATGAGTTACTTAGGTTATGGCTTGTTGTATAACATCATGTTCACAAGTCTTTACTTACCATTTTGTGTAATTTTCTGAATATTGTTACCAACACTCTGAGCAAGTCTTGTATGGTCACTGGCTCCATCAGCTGTACAAAGAGAGAAGAATCAAGCATGAGTGAGTTAGGTGAGCCCATGACAAACAGACCTTAAATCATCGTAAATATCAGCTCTTATCCTGAAATTGGACAATTTACCAGAAAAAGGGTCTCGTGATTAATCTGAATGTGAATGAGTGACTGAATGTTGTTTCCTGCCATTGTCAGCAATATTCCAGCTGATGAAGAAAGGATCATGGCACATACTGCATCCTGGCAGGCACATACTGCATCTTGGCAGGCACATACTGCATCCTGGCAGGCACATACTGCATCTTGGCAGGCAAATACTGCATCTTGGCAGGCAAATACTGCATCCTGGCAGGCAAATACTGCATCTTGGCAGGCACATACTGCATCTTGGCAGCCACATACTGCATCTTGGTAGGCACATACTGCATCTTGGCAGGCATATACTGCATCCTGGCAGGCACATACTGCATCTTGGCAGGCATATACTGCATCCTGGCAGGCATATACTGCATCTTGGCAGCCACATACTGCATCTTGGTAGGCACATACTGCATCTTGGCAGGCATATACTGCATCTTGGCAGGCACATACTGCATCTTGGCAGCCACATACTGCATCTTGGTAGGCACATACTGCATCTTGGCAGGCATATACTGCATCCTGGTAGGCACATACTGCATCTTGGTAGGCACATACTGCATCTTGGTAGGCACATACTGCATCTTGGTAGGCACATACTGCATCTTGGCAGGCAAATACTGCATCTTGGCAGGCACATACTGCATCTTGGCAGGCAAATACTGCATCTTGGTAGGCACATACTGCATCTTGGTAGGCACATACTGCATCTTGGCAGGCACATACTGCATCTTGGTAGGCACATACTGCATCTTGGCAGGCACATACTGCATCCTGGCAGGCACATACTGCATCTTGGCAGCCACATACTGCATCTTGGTAGGCACATACTGCATCTTGGCAGGCATATACTGCATCCTGGCAGGCACATACTGCATCTTGGCAGGCATATACTGCATCCTGGCAGGCATATACTGCATCTTGGCAGCCACATACTGCATCTTGGTAGGCACATACTGCATCTTGGCAGGCATATACTGCATCTTGGCAGGCACATACTGCATCTTGGCAGCCACATACTGCATCTTGGTAGGCACATACTGCATCTTGGCAGGCATATACTGCATCCTGGTAGGCACATACTGCATCTTGGTAGGCACATACTGCATCTTGGTAGGCACATACTGCATCTTGGTAGGCACATACTGCATCTTGGCAGGCAAATACTGCATCTTGGCAGGCACATACTGCATCTTGGCAGGCAAATACTGCATCTTGGTAGGCACATACTGCATCTTGGTAGGCACATACTGCATCTTGGTAGGCACATACTGCATCTTGGTAGGCAAATACTGCATCTTGGTAGGCAAATTGGGATTTCTTAAAAGTTCTTCTCTACCTAAATTCTTAGGTATTATATTGTAATTATGGCTGGTTATCGATACAGATCATAGAGATTGATAATCGTTAACCAAATATTGATCAATTATCAATAAATATCGGAGAAGTGACTTTGAGAAAATATGCAAAAGAAATTCTGAAAGGAATCAACATATTTCACTCCACTGGCACATTTATGCATGGATTACCTTGTGGACATTTGAGACATAGGAAAAACAGTTACTTTCCATCTTGAGAAATTGACATTCTTGACAATAACAGATTTGTTTTGGTAAAACTTAACTTTATTACATCACAATAGTTTATGTAAGATATTATCGATACACAAATTTCATATCGATAATCTTCAATATTTTTTCCCATCTTTGATATTTCCTATTATCGATCTTCATTGCCAGCCCTAATTGTAATATACATGTAAAACTAAGCATTGAAGCCTTTTCCTCTCTATTGGTCTTGTAACCAGTGCTATACAGTTACATTCACAAAGCCATAACATCAGTTATAACTATAATTACATGAATGGGATATTTGTTAAACCAAGTTTATTTATTCCAGAACTTGGGACCTAATATCGGCCTCTGAGCAGGTCTGGATAAACCCCTGTTGGTGTACTGTTTAAGCTCAAATCCACAGTGATTTGGATGGATACAAATGGCAATAGCACATTTCAAAGATTGTACCAACTCTTGAGTGTACAATCTTCCCTTTGAGTACCAAATTTGAAAACGATCTTCACGATGCTTTGGATGACAATCAGTCAATGTCCTAGAAAATGAACCGATCTGATACCATGAATGGTTCAAGACACTATCAGGTGTCGATAGTTGTTGTTAGTCCTGAAACTTCCAGTGTATCATAAGATAAGAATATACAATCAAGTCTCGATAATTCTGACACTCATTTATCCGACAATCAGCTCAATGCAAACCTAATAATGGGAACCAATTAAATCTGTGCTATTTAGACCTGTTAATCCGACAGTCACGCACTCCGACTCTGACAAACCTAATTTGCACCGAATTACCGAAATCCCTCACTAATCAGTCTCATTAATCCTGCTGCCCACAACTGCTGTACATGATACAAGGCCCCAGCAACCAGTGTTCGAAATAATTAAAAAAAACAACAAGACAGTCGGGCAGGTGACCCATAAATGTTGCCTGACCATCTTCAAAGTAACCTGCCCGCATTCAGACATTATGTACCGTGTTTTCAAGCCCCTAAGAAGCATTTCTGGTTACGTCAATATGTCTTAATATCAATCCCAATACACTTAAATTAACTTGATTGACCAGTGAGAGTGTAGTTGTTTCCCTTCATCCACCATTAATAACGGATTGCCAACGACAGAAGAAAAATCACGAAAAATAAGAGACAAATCGTGTCTTCATTCAGTTGAAATAATGCAAACAATTACTTGAAATCACTGGATTGTCTCATCCAGATTTGATTATTTAAAGGCTGCCATCCTATAACTGGAATATTGCTGAGCGTTAGCATTAACCAGCAAACATACACACAACTTTGGCTTTAAACCTGGAATTGGTGTTTAGTACTGTTATGATTGTATAGCTGACATATTGCTCAGTGTGGCATTAAACAACAACAACAAAAATCAATCCTGACATAGTTACCTCCCCTACCCTGGTACCCTCCAGAGCTTCCGCCTTGGTAACCGGAGAACCCATCAAACGATCCTCTACCATATGATGCCATGATTCCAGCTGCTAAATTGTTTCCGGTGTGTCACAAATGTAATTCTTATTGGGTAGTGTTCAATCTGAAAAGAACAAATTGATGAAACGTCGCTGTGAACATGAATATAAAATGATAATTAACTGGAATTAATCTCCTCTCCTGTACTTACTTGTAAGTGTCATTTGATTGACAGCTAAAACAACACAATGTCAAAGACAGGCTACATCACATATTCTTCCGTTAATTTTTCAGCAAATTCTGCATATCTCACCATGATCACAGTCAATATGGTACACATTTTCAAAGAGTGAGTGAGTGAGTGAGTATGGTTTTATGCTGCTTTTAGCAATATTCTACAATATCATGGCGGACACAAAAAATGGCTTCACACATTGTATCCATGTAGGGAATAGTATCCTGATCTTTGGCTTGACGAACGAACCCTTAACTACTCTACTGTTATCCCACAGTCCAAACTTTGGAAGACAAAAGTAAGGACCACAACATTGTCTGATCATGTGAAAATTAAAAAGAGTGAGTGAGTGAGTTGGGCTTAACGCCGCTTCTAACAGTATTACAGTTATATCACAGAGTGTCAGCTTAATGTGGGAGGAAAGCCTGAAGTGATGCAGGTCTCAGACGTTTACCACTTCGGTGAAACCCACGAGCATGGTGCTGACAAACCTAGAAACATAATCGGGGCGAACCGGGATTCGAACCCAAAATCATAGGTTTCTGGCGTGTCGAAGGGACGCAACTCTGCACAGCGAATCGCGGCACCTTAGACGACTGGGCCACCCGTGCCCCAAAAATTATAAAGAATAAAATGAGATATTTGTTGTGAGGGATGTCAGTGTACACTTGACTTACACTTACCCGTCATTTGGCCTATGGTCAGATGTATTGGCAAGAAGCCCTATATTATTTGAAGTGAGCACAGTAAGTGACTACCCAATACACTAAACTACATTTATAACGAACACGCTTATAACGAACTGACGAATATAACAAATTTATTTTTTGGCCCTGGCCACTTGCTGTATGTATGCTGTACATATGCTTATACATGTAAGAAACTATGTTCATAACGAACTAAAATTCCCTTTGGGTTCGGTATAACCGTAGTTTACTGTAATAAGCTGATAGCCTCTTCAGATATCTACTTGCCATTGCAGGTAGTAGTACCTTTTATTCATCATGTTCATAGTGAGTGAGTTGGGTTTTACGCCTCTTTTAGCAATATTCCAGCAATATCACGACGGGGGACACCAGAAATGGGCCTCACACATTGTACCCATGTGGGGAATCGAACCTGGGCTTACAGTGTGACAAGCGGACGCTTTGACCCATAGGCTACCCCACAGCGCCACCTTTTATTAATATGTTAATCATTCCTGGACCAATAAACCATTCACCCTGTGGGCTATTGTGGGTTTTGGAGCGCCAGTTTTGTTGCATCCTCTGTATCTCCATTTCAGTAAACCAACACAAACCCCTGGATCCATTCCTGTGATTCTCACGATCTCAAATTATCTAAGTTAAGTTTAAGGAACCTGGGCTTACAGTGTGACAAGCGGACGCTTTGACCACTAGGCTACCCCACAGCGCCACCTTTTATTAATATGTTAATCATTCCTGGACCAATAAACCATTCACCCTGTGGGCTATTGTGGGTTTTGGAGGGCCAGTTTTGTTGCATCCTCTGTATTTCCATTTCAGTAAACCAACACAAACCCCTGGATCCATTCCTGTGATTCTCACGATCTCAAATTATCTAAGTTAAGTCTAAGAAATAAATCAGGACCACAAGTAACCAACATTTTATAACCTCGTAACACGAAATAAGCCTGACAGTGCTCAGCACAAGCAATATCAGAAGGACAGCTTCCCACTGGGTGGTAATGGCAAGCTCATTCTTAAACAACAGTGATACAAATTGGCACCAGGGTGCCGTTGTACAAAACAACCTTAGTGCTATTACTGTCGTAAGTGTATGTTAAGGTATGGGAGTTACGATCACCTTAGCGCTAAGATCGCTTTGTACAACGGCACCCAGAACTATAGTCCTTGCCAAACTGCCCAATAGCTAAAGCATCATAATGTGTACAAAGAACAACTGTGTTCAACATAGTAGTGGGATGATACACACGAGTATTCATCCGTAGATTGCGAGTTTTCACTTCTCGATACAAGTAATGATCACAATCACATACTAATTAAAAATTATCGATTCTTACCTATAAATGTTAAATGTATGCTTCAGTAAATGTTACACCAAACACTAACTACAAGTGAAAATGAGGAGTGAAAACGTAAATATTTTCCTCCATTGTGCCATACTTGCCATTGCCAGTTGTAAATCATTAATGTGCCGGGTATTTGGCCATCCTATGAAAAGGATGGCTTACGCCCCACAGATAAAATATTGTGACATGTACATGATGATGTATCGGATCGTGAATCAGTGAATAAACACTTCTGTTTGAAATACAAGACCTACATAATATTCCGTCAAAATACGAAAAGACGCAATTACATTAAAACGCAAGGCCTACGTAATATTCATGATCTTCCATTAAAACTTTGACCAATATTGAAGATTTTGTCAAACATTTCTTAGATCATGTAGATACAGTCAACGGAAATCACCTAATAATGCTGACTGATTTAACAACAGGAATTTGTTTAGCGATTGTGGAACATGCAACTAATAACCAAAACGCTTTCATTACAGTTTACTTTTGACAAAACACGAGACACTGGCCACAAAATTCAAGCATACCATTTCCTATTTTATGTGTCATGGTCACGTCGGCACTTCTTATTGCTTATTGCAAGTTTATATTCATGTGGATAAGTGATGTTAGTTCAAGATTTAATGATGATAGATTGATGTTTACACAACAGATAAGGTTAAAGTACAATGCCTGATTGATGTACATATAGAATGAATAGTATTAACAAGGCATGATAGTAAAACGATACAGTGATTGGTATGAACAAATTGATTGGAAACCAGAATTAAGATGAGAAGGATAACGATATATATGTGTAAATGGGAATATATGATAATACATAATGAACAATTTAGTGATGTGCTCACATTGCTGTCCATAACTTACTTCATTACTGTGTCAGTATCAAAACTGAAACGTTGCATTCATTGTACTTCGTTGTTTACTATCTCCCTTGTTCATCCACAAGGACCAACAATTATTTTAGGTAAACAACAAGTGCAAGGACAGACAGTCTTCTCAGAGAACAGATTCATTAGGCTGAGGATGAACAGTCAATCACCAATGGGCCTGCACAGTGGATTTGGGATCAACAGGATTAATGGATCTAGATCTACATGTTAAATAAATACAAAGCTCTGTCCATTAATTGCAATTATATTATTATAAGTTTGTGTGAAATCTCATGTTAATTACTAAATATATACGAGACAACATGTGATGGTGAGTAAGAAACTATAATTATAACAAAACTCACACCTATCTGGAATCGTTGTGATTAGGCAAGTTATTTTACAAAATTATCATCTGTCAATCTCTGAATTTCCGTATTTTCAACGATGAAGTAAACTGCATGTTCCTGCCTTTTATACCAACATGTTATATTTCTCAATTTGCTATTCCATAAATCTCAAGGAACATAAGCCTTTTTAAATCACAACATAAACACATTTTGCGACCAAACCCACCTACTTCCCACTTTCCTCCATTACGTGACGTCAGTGTTCAAAGGTACGTAACTCCCAACAAGCTCATCAATATGCAGACCTCTAGAAATAAACGCCTTCGTGGGTCACGAAGTACCATTCACTTGTTTCAGCTGTTGGTTTACTTTCATAGTCTCATCTCATATAAATCAAGTTAAATAACTATTTTCAGTCAAGATAACAGAACACCCATTTAAATTACTTCTGTTTTCATTCACGATTTATTGAAAAATGGAGGGCACGGGTGGCCCAGTAGTCTAAGGCGCCGCGATTCGCTGTGCAGAGTTGCGTCCCTTGGGCACGCCAGAAACCTATGATTGTGGGTTCGAATCCCGGTTCGCCCCGATTATGTTTCTAGGTTTGTCAGCACCATACCCGTGCTCGTGGGTTTCACCGAAGTGCTAAACGTCTGAGACCAGCATCACTTCAGGCTTTCCTCCCACATTAAGCTGACACGCCGTGATATGACTGGAATACTGTCAAAAGCGGCGTTAAACCCAACTCACCCACCCACCCACCTATTGAAAAATGACATCTAAAAATAGAAAGGACATTATACAGCTATATATTTCAGAAGTTCAGAAATCATCGAAAAGTAGTCACTCTAACCGAGGAGTAAATACGAGCATGTGATAAAGCCTAGTGCAGATTCATTCGTGTCCAACTCGTGTTATTCCGGGACAAGCCGAAGATCTCCTTGCAGGTACGGAAAGGGGCGAGTGGTGACGAATGGTGCAGATTGTGTCCAATCCGCTTAGAGGTCGGCGGTTCGATCTCCTGGTCGCGTCATGCCAAAGACGTTAAAATGGTTCTTGTTGTTACCTGCCTGGTGCTCGGCATTAGGGGATAAAACACGGACTAGTCGTCTCGGGTTCAGTATACTGTGTCTGAGTGGGGTATTCATGTTAAACCGCGGCATGGTATCTCATGGGTTAGGACTGTAAAACCGGGTAAGTTCGGACTAGAACAAGCAGCCCCAACAACGTGCAATCACGTCGCTATATAAGTGAAATAATCTTGAACATTAGACCCCATTTCACCTAATATCAGTAGGTACAAGACTGCTAGTTGACAAATGAAATGATGCTGTAGGCACCAGTGGGGATTCTAGGAAATTACCTAATATCGACTAAGATGGCTCTGTCTGATCTCGCTGAGCGTGTCATCGTATCGACAGCGTGGGTCAATGCTCATGTTTTAAGACGCTGGACTATCTGGGCAAGTCTTGACTTGACTATAGGAAATTATATGTATTGCAGCTGGAATATTCCTGACTTCTTAAACACTCACTCACTGATCCCCAGGGGTATGGGACGGGATGAAATATGAGCATGGTATTTTCATGTAGACAGGCTCATATATTCTGCAAAAAGGAAACGCAAAACTAATAAAACTGTAAATATCTGACAGACTGTTGCCGGTGTCACGAAATATATTCGCCCCCAGAATAAAGTCTCCCCCCCCCGGCGAATTTATACCGGTACAGTTCCGCCCCTCTCGAAATAAACTCTCCCCCACCCTACGAAATAAAGTCTCCCCCCAGAATATTTCCTCCCCCGGTCGTTTTATAAATACTTGCCATGCAGTTCAATAGTTGATGTTATTTTGGGTTAGGTAATGTTGTAATCTATTTTTAGCCATTGATTCCATTACTTTGCATAAGTTTGAAGTTGAGATGTTGGTCGATATGCGTTAGCTTGATTAGCTGGTTTATTAGGTTTAGGGATTGGTATGACTAGGGCCTGTTTCCAGGGAGTAGGATATAGTTTTAGGTTGTTTTTTTTAATTATTTGTTCAGAAGTTAGGTCTAATCCTGGGGCTGTGCCCTTTTTCCTGTTTTGGATTACGTAGAGGAGCTCCTCCATTTTGTAGGGTTGGTTTATTTCTAGATTGTTATTGTTTGGTTCTTTTGTGGGTTTGTTTTTTGTTTTAAGTTTATCTTGGAATTTTTGGCTGAAGTTGGTGCTACTGCTAACGGCCGAAAAGTTGTTGGCGAGATTATTTGCTTTTTGGGCGGGGTTGGTTGAGTTGTTAATGTTAGTTTTTTATGTCGTTTTAAGCCTGGATTTTGCGCCAGACCGTTCTGGCATCTGTACGGTTATTTATACATTCGCAGAATTTTTTCCAGTCTCTACTTTTGGCTATTTGGACTAGTTTTTGAACCTGGTGGTTTAGTTCGTGGGCTAAGTTTAGATGTGTGTAGTCGCGTTTTGCTTTATTGAAGGCTGATTTACGTTTTCGTCTAGCCTGTTCTATTTCCTCATTCCACCATGGTACCGTGGGTTTGCCTGATGTTTTGAAGGGGATGGAGGTTTTGGCTGCCTTTATTATATATTAGTCTGTTAGGTTTTTACAATAGGTTTCTGGGTCATTATTTTCTATTTCGTTTAAGTTAGCTTCGTTGCAGATATCTTGGGATTGGTCCCAGTTAGCTTATTGTAATAGAATTTTGGTTCTTGGTTTTCTGTTTGGATTGGTACGTTTGTATTTACTATGGTTATGTTTATCGGGAAGTGGTCACTACCTAGCGGGACGTCGTGCACTTCCCATTGATCTGCGGTGCATATGGTTAGGTCGATAGCCGACATTTTTTGGTTTATCTTATCGTACCTCGTGGGTTGGTTGTTATTTAGGAGTACTAGGTCGTTTGTTTCTATCCATTCGGAGATTAATTTGCCATGATTTTCTATTTTATCATCTATGCTCCATGTAGGATGGTGAGCGTTAAGTTTCCTAGGAATATAGTAGATTTATCGCTTATTTGAAGTAGTTTGTTTAGATCCTCAGGTTGGACTTTTTGTTCCGCCCAGTGGTATATATTTATGATGTTTATTTTTCGGTTATTTAATGTGATTTTAATGCAGTTGGCTTCTAGGTTTGGCGTGTCTATTTTTATTTCTTCGTAATTTATATCTTCCCTGATAAATATGATTAGTCCTCCTGCGGCTCTTCTTGTTTTTGGTTTAGCTCTGTCAGTTCTAACTTAGTTGTAGTTAGGTAGTGTGGATTTGGATTTTTTTGAGAATTTGGTTTCCTGGATACAAGCAATGTGAGGGCCTTTATTTAGTTTAAATTTAGTTTTTAGTTCATGGCCGCGGGAAGTGAGTCCGTTGGCGTTCCACTGAAAAATATTTAGTCCTTTCATTATTGGGTTCGGGTGATAGGTGATTTAATTTTTAGTTTTTATATTATTCGGTGACTTCTTTTAGGTGGAGGTTAAAGAGGAAGAAGGAAAGATCGGTTAATTTTATATTGAAAGCTACTTTGTGGAAGGATTTCATGCTAGCTTTTGGTGAGTTTTGACTATGCATGTATACTAGGAGTATTTAGGAGGTTATTTAGGTTTTGGGTGTTGGCTGGTTGGGGAGTTTTGCGGTTTAGTTATTTCTTCCTTTTTGGGGCTAGGAGGGAATTTTGGTTTGTTTTAGTTGGAGTAGTGTCTATTGTTTCCTCAGTAGTGGAGAAATCTTCATCATCGGTTAGATTAGGTTTAGCTGTTTGAGTTTCCATAGGACGAAAACACATTAAATGGCCTGGCCCGTGTGCGAAATACGCATCAGTCGGAATGCGCACGTTGAATCTCTTGGGGTCTGTTGTTGGGGTTCGCTTTCTGGCAAGCAGGGCAACGCTTACAGAACTCACGGACGTCATTACTCATACTGCGCCACCAGTACCGCTCGGTGACCTTGGCAATGGTTGCATTCTGCCCGAAGTGACAACCACCGACAATGCTGCTGTGGAGAGTCTCTATGATCTTCATCTTCTCTTCTTCACCAACGACGACCTTCTGCTTCTTCTCCCCATTGCCTAGATGGTAGAGAACTCTGTCAGCAACTGTGAAAGAGGCTGCCTTCTCACGTAGACGTCTCTTTTGATCTTTGGTGAAGTCTTCTGGGTACGTAGTAGAGGCGATGTAGTCTACAAAGCGAGATACTTCGCTGGCATCCATCACGAGAAGATTTGGTAACACTGAAGAACTGTATGGCAATGTTTTGACGAACGATACAAGCAAATGATAGCAATTGTTCTAACCCTTTAGGTATTTGTACACGTATTATGTGTGATGGGCAGCAACTTGACATGCCCGTTGCCCACAACCGCCCTCCCTACATGAAAACACCTCGGCGTGACACGCCAGCCCCATTTTCTCAGGATGACACCAGCAGTGACACCCACATGAACTGACGGCTAGTCATCTACGGACACGTTGGAATAGTTCGTTTGAAAATGATTTTGTTGGTTTGTACTACATTCATAAATTAATATTACGTTTATAAGCTTACTTTTCAATAATGCAAGCAACAATAGCTATATTAAAAATCATAAAATTCAGTATTCAATCAAGAATATATCTTTCTGGCGTGTTTCTTTTGAATGAAAAACACTTTCATTCAGTCAGTTCGCCACGCGGTTTGGGGCCCGTTTTGGGAGGCGGTTGAAATGTAATACAAAACTCTGTATATATTCAAACGGCGCACCTCAAGTCAAACCGCTATGCAAGGTTTTTTTCCAAGATATTAGGCCTTATTCTGTAAAATTACCCTTGGCTCGGGTAGAACCTCTGGGCTAACCACGCGGTTCAAGATAATCGAGCACTGTTCGATTTCTTTTTTAGCCGAACGATCCTAACCGCGCCAATGGAAATACTACATCGTCATCATAAATGAACTGTTTCGATTTGTCGCGGTTTTACCAAACGCTAGCCCCTAGCGGTTTGCAGTTGGTGAAACCGCGCCAAACCGCGCACTATGGAAACAAAGTCGCCGAACTTTTGAGCATACTTTTTGTATAGCATTTCAAAAGCCTGGGTTGTTTGCATTAAAATCAAAACAAAGGAATCTGTAATTAAAATGTGTAAGGTGAAAAAGCTTTTACATAAAAGAGCAAAATACATGGGGGAGAGTAAATATATAATTCTATATAACTTTTCTTGAATGGAGCACATTTGAAAAAAAAGATAATCCAAGAATATTCGATATTACCGTGTATAAAGAATTTATATCAGTCATATATTTCTAACTTAGA